TTGAACGTACTACAGCAGAGAAAACGCAACTCTGCACCAATAAGTAAAAAGCGAGCTGCAATAAAATGTCAGAAGATCAGCGTCAGAATTCTACTTACTGTTTTTCATACAATTCTTATAATTCAACTCGGAAGAGTTTGGTTTTATATCAAGGAATGATCAGGCGGATATTTTGTGTTATGATCTGTCTACTACAAACCAAACAGAAAACGTTTCCCGTGTTTCCATAGAGTTATGGTAACACGAGTGAAGTTTGGGAGAACGAGAAATTTCGAGTTCTCCCAAACTTTCACCAGTGTTACCATAACTCTATGGAAACTCTATGGAAACACAGGGAAAACGTTTCTATGTTTCCATAGAGTTATGGTAAACTAGTATGGTTTTGAGCCAATCAAAGCGCACGTAGTATCTTGTTTATTGAATAAAATGTTACCAGCCACAAAATCAAACACGAGAGACACGTGCGACTCTGATGTGTCATCGCATTTCCAAACACCGAGAAGAGAGTTGAAAATACAGTTGACTCCCGATAACTCGAACCCTCGATAGCTCGAAACTACCGCCAACTCGAAGTATAAAATTCATTTTCCCTTCAAGTCATTTTCTTACTAATTTTCCCTCGATAACTCGAACTCCAGAACGTTTTTCAATTTCCCGTGAAGATTCGAGTTATCTGGAGTCAACTGTACGACGCATACTAGTGGAGTATTCTTGCCGAAATTATATTCGAGCTGTTTGGAAATCGGACCAAACGCTGTCTTGAGTGTTTGATATATCTTCTCAATCGAAACTAGACTTTCTCAATGTCCGTTTTGCGGCAGATATCTAAACCTCCGTCACGGAATGTGATGGATTATTAATGAGTTTGAGAAAAAGGTCAAGAAACTGAAGTTGGGAATTGATGAATAACAAAACTGAACCAAATTTCATAATAGACTGTAAAGGTCAAGTGTTCCCCGTTGTCTGTTATGTTGTTCTTATCTCTAATCTCGTAATTGATCTAGAACCATTGTCAAAAGGTTGGAACATTTTCAGACAATTCGCCCTTATTAGTTACACCACAGCATATCTGCTTTCGTTAAATATTTCAGTCTGAAAGCGCGCGAATATTACTGAAGTGCTGACCCGACAACGTCATTTCCTGTTGTCAATTAATTTTGCTGATCAAACAAAATAATCCGTTTTCACTTAGCTTTTTTTTTCGAAGCCAGTCAACAAAATAAATTTATAATCGAAACAAATGCCGCAGAGGTCTTTTTACATTCCACCAATAAAGAGCTCTGGATTAAATATGTTAACATTTTTCTCGTATTTCCAGCCGCAGAATTGATTAATCAGTAGATATAATTTTACTCTCGACCAAAGAACGACGGTATTACATGAAGTCAGCTAATTTAGGCAATGGACAAGACTTCTAACACATTGGAACTTATTAAATAATAACTTAACAAAAAAACAATGTAACTTACCTTAAGGATAGTATTTTCCATACTTGTTCTGTCTATATGGCCGGGTTGAGATGTTTCTGGTCAGCTTTTTTTACTGTAGTCAGCTCTGGTCTTCACAGCGGTTCATGGTTCAAACGAAAAGAAGCGAGCGTTTTTATAACACACACAAGGAAAGCCACAATTACACCACCGATCTAATTTTAGATTTATTGTAATGTTCATAATTTGTTTCCTCTCGCTGCGACGGAAGAACAATAATTCACACCCAATTTTGTATAAACTACTGAAAAACTGACTGTGAAGAAATGTCAGCTTTCTTTCTTAATTTATTTTATGGAAGATTTAAACTCGTCCGACTTTGAATTCAATTTGATTTGAGAAGACGGTTTTAACTTATTTCAAGTAATCTCGCGTAAGTAACGAGATGGATATAAATAAACAGAGATTAAAAAAAACCTTCATTTATTTTTGAAACTTTGTTTGCGCATACATCAATTAGGTTAAGTGGTTTTCTATTTTACGAGGAACTAGAAACTCGGATGGTTTTTCTTTCCGACATATTTTTTTGGTCTTGTTTGAAACCCGGAGAAAGTTTGGTGACGTATTTCCGGTTTAATGAGGGCTACGTCTCAGAGCCCAGAGGGACTGACTAAAACATACAATTTAAAATTATTGGGAGTTCGGTTTATTGAATGTGGAGTTAGCGATCTAGTGAAGCAAATCCAGAGGAATTATATATCTTTATTTCAAGTTATCGTAAGGTTTGTGTTCTGATTAACCGGAGTTCGAGTTATCTGGCCTCACTCGTGTGACTCATTCGCAGTTCGCAGGCATTCCTTGCACTGCTAGTAGTCACCTCGATTTCTATCAGTGGCGTTTTATATTTCCATGCGATAACTTGTCCAGTTAACAAACCGATAAGTAATAGAATAAAACACCGTTTGTGATCACAAATTATAAATGGGGATTCCTTTACTGTTGACGCTACATTTAGAATACACATGACGTAACCTTTGGACAGAGTGTAGAATTGCAACATGAAGACGGAAACTGAGTTTCCGTCCGAGTGAGTTTCGTAAACCGGGAAATGGCGATCGAGTTTACAGTGATTTTTTGAACAATAGTGTAATTGTTTTATTTGTGTTTCCGTGGATTTCCGAACTCGTTTTAATTTCTGGATTGAGTCGTAAGTTTTCTCGCGCATGCTTCTGTTTCATTTTACAATACAATCAGAAATGATTTGATTTTTCCCCAGAGTATAGTAATCGTTCATCGTACGTACTACAGTAAATTCAGTAATACAGTAGTGTACTAGTGTGTCAGATGATATTCATATGGTATAAGTATAAAGCTGAAATGAATAACTTGGATAAACATGCATATGAAAGCTGAAGATAGTAGTTTTCTACAGTTGTAGGTTCGAATAAGCTGGTTTAAGACCGTTTGAACATTCGGAGAAAATAAAACAAAATGCGGAAGCTAGAGAAGATTAATTAGGAAATAAACAATTAGATTAGTACTGGTTAATCACTGTTCGGCACGCATGAACTTAATTTAAAGAGCTTTTTATTTCTGCTCGTATGAAACGTGTGGGTCTTGGGTTTATATATTCTTTTCATTAAGGTTTGTGTCAAGGAATATAATTATCAAATTTAAGTTGAGTAAACCATTTGGTAATTTGTTTATAACTTGGACAAACATGAAAGCTGAAGACAGTGGCATAATTGTCTACAATTAATTGTAGGTTCGAATAAGTTGGTTTAAGACCGTTCGGAGCATTCAGAGAAAATGAAACAAAATGCGGAAGTTAGAGAATAGCAATTCAGTAAAAGGAAATAAACAATTAATTAAGGGCGCGTGTGTTTATTGATAACCGTGCATGATACAAGCTATAAAACGTAAAACGTCGCAACCGTGTCCGGCTACAACCATATCCGGAAGACACCTAGTTGCCCGTAGTCACAATTATATTCATCCTCTGAGACCCAGGGGTAGTTAGTCGGGCGCGAAGAAAGTTTATAATCGGCAAAAGTCGGAGCGGCGAAAGTTCGTAGTAGCTGTGAAATAACCCCTGGGTAGCGACTCTTATCGCACTACTTACAGAAACATTTGAATACACGGTCTCTTATTGTGCAGAAAATTTCTGGAATTGTATTTTTCTGCCCAATCGACGTGCTCCATCTATTGCGCCACTTTCGTTCCTTCTTTCACGATGTTGTTTACGTTGCCATTGATTTCATTTCCAGGCGTTAAAGAGCTAAATCCCGAGCAGAAACTGTAGAAAATGTAATTCGTGGAAGACATGTATTTGCTGCGTTACCCACTTTAACCCTATTCTGCCTGGGAGGGGGGGGGCAGAAAGTGCCCGCGGTGATTTCAAATTTATCGTACTTAGAGAGCTTTCAAGCAATCATAGCCAAACTTTATGACTTTTCCTAAAAATTTATCTGGGAACATTTTGGTGTGTCAATTTTTTGATCACGTGACCATGGCAACCAAGTTTTGACAGGCCGTTTTAGCCAAATTTGGTATTTTCAGCTTAATTTTCAGTTTTTATGAGATTCACCCCTTTCTACGAATAGTTTCCTCCAAAATACATGGTGTGTAAAGCATCCGAAAATCTTTATTTTAATAAAGATTTCAATTATGACATCATTCACGCCATAATGACGTCATACATTAAATTGTTAAATTAAATTGTTAAATTGAAATTGTTTTCTTTCTGCATGATCCGTCGCCTTCGATGATACTGTTTCACTTCGTTTTCAATACAGGTAAAGCATTACTGGTTAAACTCGTAATATATCGGATAAAAGAGTCAAGAAAAGCGACAGGTTCAACTTTATAAACTGAGCGTAGTGAACATCCGGGACATGCGTGCTCTATAGTTTTTAGCCGTGAGCTATAAGAAAATAATGCACGGCTAGACTCTATGCCGTTTATGTGACAGCTATTTTCTAAACTGTCATAAAACACTCCGGGAATTTGAGAAAACTTGAGAAATTTGGAAAACATTCGCCTGCGGCTCGTATTTTCTAAATTTCTCTCGTGTTCTCAAATTCCCGTCGTGTTTTATAACAGTATAATACATGGTTTTGGCTTCTTTATTTGTTAAATAATTTGGACAAAACGTTTCTTCCTACCAGTTCTTTTACCTGTTAATTTTCTGATGTTGTTCATGCAAGCAAACAGTTTTTGCAACGGTTGATGAAAACCACCAATTGATTTCAGTTTTTTTAATTTTCCGTGAGGTTTTCTGTTCAGATTTTTTGTCCTTCAGTTTTGACTTTGAGCAATCTCAAACCCTACAAAATATTGGCAATGAAAAACAGTTTTAATCAAGATAAATTAAAACTGCAATGACTTTTAATCCACTGGGATATTAGCGTTAATCGGCTTTCGAGCAACCCGGGCCCTGGACGGGATGCTAGTCCTTCACAGGTAATGCAGGTTTCCCTGACAATTCACCGGTACCAATTTACACTCTTGGATGAAGAGAGGCACTGTGAGAGTATTTATAAAGTGTCTTCCCTAGCTAAGAACACAACACAATGACCCAGGCCAGCGCTCGAACCCGGACCGCTCGATCCTGAGTCCAACGCACAAACCATTAGGCCACCACGTCTCCCACAAAATCCATTTGGTGATCAGTCGAATATTGCACAGCTTTCCCTCGATTAAGTAGCACAATCGGTGATGTGATTGTGTGAGGCTATTAAAAGACGGCCGCCATTTTCCTGGACATTCGTTACGTCACGACTGTCATCTGGACTACGTAGTTGTAGAGTTTCATCACGATTTCTAATTGGTTCATGACGGTTTGGTTTGGTTTTGTGTTCTGTCGTTGTCTTCGTTTCAGTCTTGTTAATGTTTCCCAGAAGGGTACGTCTTTTTCGTTTTACTGTTTATCAGAAACATGTATGTCACCCTATCTTGCTAACTTAAATAAAATATTAGTGGCATATTTCCTGTAATTAAGTTGAAGGGAGTGAAGGGAGAAAAAAGCGCTGAACAATTAACCTGATCACAGCAGGTAGATAGAAAATACCTCAAGTGAAATCTACCAAGAGGCTGATCTTATGACTTTTTTTCATCTCTCATAAATAAATTTACTGCAAGTTTGTCTGTATGTTAAAAGGAATCCTTTTCCCGTACTACTTAAGGAACCTGTTCAGAGACTAACAGGGTGTTAATTAAGTTTTCACATTGCTGGAAACGACCACAAGAAAGTGCAAGACATTAACACGCCTGTAACATGCATATATGGAACCATTATTTTTATTTCCTATTTCGTTTACAATTTATACATGGTACATTATCAGTTTACTTTCGCTCGATCGTCACAAACGTGAATCATATACTTTACAGAATGCAATAATGTTAATCCTTATTTCAAGGGGGGGGGGGGGGGGGGGGAGATAACTTCTACATAAAAGTGACGGGGATAATCGTCGTAAATTTTGAAAGGAACCCCTAAAGGTACCATAATTTCGTTGTTTGGGTGTGGCTCGAATACATTTTTCCCTAAGAAGTATCAATTCTAAAACAGAACTAGTTCATGTCACTGATTTCTTCAGGTTTAATAGTTTTATAAGGTTCGCTATATCATTTTAGATTTTAGTACCCTAAGAGGTACCAAACCATGAATTTTAACCCCTAAATAGTACCACGATTAATATTAGCCACGTCACCTCTATATAGTTGTCCCAAGGGCCTTATATATTAACCAACTATGATATATAAGTGATCATCGCAGTTATGATTGCAATTTTTGTAATTATTGCAAAAATTGCATTCATACTGCGATAATCACTTATTCATTTCATTTCATTTCCGCATCATCTTATACTCGATCAGCAGTTCCGAAAAAAATGTTCTCTGTTACAAGCAGCTCTGATATAATTACTGATTATCTATGCGAAGGAAAATATACATAAACTGAAAATTGTACAAGATGTTTAAGTTAAAAAACTATTTTATATAAAATGTCACGGGCTCCTGACAATTGCAATGCCTTGATCTATTTACATTCGCAACCTATGTCCAAATATTCGTTAGTATCAGCACACCACACCTTTATCTCCTGACAAAGTGGAGCAGGCCATGGGCTGTGATTACATGCGTAACTTATTTTCTTACAAGTATACGTCGTTATCAATTTCTTGCCGCACGTGACAGCAACAGGATTGACATTTTTATTAACACATCCATGCGTTTCGCGCGCCACACGCACGTGCTTGGACAACAAACTCTGGTCACCGGAACTGTCGTCACCATGTAACGCATTTTCCACTTTGATTGCGTTACCGGTTTGGTTCACGCCATTGTCACGGTAGGGGAAGTGTTGTTTTTTTTGACCGTCCTTATCAACCGGAAGTGGCGTGACGATATTTAAACAGGTGAAGTAAAATAGGCTGTGATGGTGTAAACATGTCTTGGTAATTCCGCTGACCAGTGCATAATGCCTGGGAAATCACAACACTAAACAACATTGCAGGGGGTTCGGGGGTAGTAGCCCGATCGCATAGCAAAACAAAATGGTGGGTTGCTTCCGATTTTCAGGACGGTATTTATTTGACTTCTCTCGTCTTACACATTTAAAATATAGACCTTTTAGGAGTTCCGATGCCAAAAAAACGGATAAATTCTGCAATTCCTTCGTTCCTCGGTTTGAGAAATGCTTCTTTCACGAATTTATATCGTGTTTCTTTATCGAAGTACATCGACAAATTATTTGGAGACGAATCAAGGGGTTTAATAAACAACTTCATTGAAGCACCGGGAACAGGACGGTTCCAGCAGGGAATATTTTAGGAACGATCGATCGATCGATCGATCAATAGCTTAAACAAGAAGTTCCGCAATAAAAGGGGTAGCACCTCCCACATTTCACACCTTTCGGGTGCGAAATGCTTATCAGTAACTGTCGTACAAAAAGCGCAGGTTGTTTGATGGTTGATTGACTACTAGGTGTGAGAATAGCCAGGCCAGGCCCCTTTTATATCGGAACTTCTTGTTTAAACAAGTATTTGAATAAGCTTATATGTTGGCTGCAAAACCTTTTTGCTTGTTATTGTGTAGACCTTAAGTTTATTCATAATTTCCGTGTAGAAAAGCTGGCTTCATCCGAGGCTTGTGTTTATAATAGCACATATTATTTTAAATTTCTCTGATGGATTTTTCTACTATAGTTTTATTAAGTTATAATTTGCCCAAGGTGGGGGAGTTTGATCCGATTTGAAATGCAAGTGCAAGTAGAACAATCAAAATGTTTTCATCCTTGTGCTTCTCAGTTTACATGTAATATGGACACTTTCACTTGTGTGCCAAGTAAAAACCAGGCTTTAGATGTGAAGGTGCATGTAGGCTTCTTAGTACAAATATTACCTAGAGTTCATAAGTATGTGTAACAGAGGTCATGAATGTTTTGTGTTTATAGACTGATTTCGATAAAAAGGGACTTTAATCATACAATATATCCCTATATTGAATTATACTTGGTTGGGTATTGATGAATCATATTGATTGGCAAGTCAAATTCCAGCGGGTGGGGACAGCAATGAAGTAAAATGCCCCCTATATGCCCAGCCTCCCGCCTCCCCTTCATTGATAGGTTCATACATAAATACCAGAGTCAAACAAGAAATTGAAAATAATACTAACCAATAATTATTTCAAAGTTATTGTGTTTTGGTATGCAATAGTGGAACCTACACAGGCATTTAAGCTTCAAAATAATTCCATTTTGTCAGATTTGGGATGTTGCCCAATATATATATATATATATATGAGGACTGGTAATATAAAAAGGGCCTAAATTAATAAGACCCCTTTTGTGTTGTGAGGGCTCATGATAAATAATTTAAATATAGTTGAAAATGTAAGGAAATGCCTAGGGCCTAAATTTACCCTCAGTTGCCCTCAGTTACACTCAGTTACACTCAGTTACACTCAGTTACCCTCAGTTACCCTCATTTACCCTTATTACCCTCAGTTCCCCTAATTATCCTCAATTACCCTTATTACCCTCAGTTTCTCTTATTACTCTCAGTTACCCTCATTACCCTCATTACCCCTAGTTATCCTAATTATCCCTGCAACACTTGAAATGCTTGTAAAAGACCCCTGTGAGTAAAGCACTCTATACTCTCAGAATGATAAATAATTTAAATATAGTTGAAAATGTAAGGAAATGCCTAGGGCCTAAATTTACCCTCAGTTGCCCTCAGTTTACACTCAGTTACACTCAGTTACCCTCAGTTACCCTCATTATCCTCAATTACCCTTATTACCCTCAGTTTCCCCTAATTATCCTCAATTACCCTTATTACCCTCAGTTTTCTCTTATTACTCCTCAGTTACCCTCATTACCCTCATTACCCCTAGTTATCCTAATTATCCCTGCAACACTTGAAATGCTTGTAAAAAGACCCCTGTGAGTAAAGCACTCTATACTCTCAAGAATGATAAATAATTTAAATATAGTTGAAAATGTAAGGAAATGCCTAGGGCCTAAATTTACCCTCAGTTACACTCAGTCACCCTCATTACCCTCATTACCCCGGTTACCTTCAGTCACCCTCATTACCCTCAGTTACCCTTATTACCCTCAGTTCCCTCAGTTACCCTCATTAACCCCTGTGAGTAAAGCTCTCTATACTCTCAAGAATTGATAAATTAATTTAAATATAGTTGAAAATGTAAGGAAATGCCTAGGGGCCTAAATTTACCCTCAGTTGCCCCCTCAGTTACACTCAGTTACACTCAGTTACACTCAGTTACCCTCAGTTACCCTCATTTACCCTTATTACCCTCAGTTCCCCTAATTATCCTCAATTACCCTTATTACCCTCAGTTTTCTCTTATTTAACTCTCAGTTACCCTCATTACCCTCATTACCCCTAGTTATCCTAATTATCCCTGCAACACTTGAAATGCTTGTAAAAAGACCCCTGTGAGTAAAGCACTCTATACTCTCAAGAATGATAAATAATTTAAATATAGTTGAAAATGTAAGGAAATGCCTAGGGCCTAAATTTACCCTCAGTTGCCCTCAGTTTACACTCAGTTACACTCAGTTACCCTCAGTTTACCCTCATTATCCTCAATTACCCTTATTTACCCTCAGTTCCCCTAATTATCCTCAATTACCCTTATTACCCTCAGTTTCTCTTATTACTCTCAGTTACCCTCATTACCCTCATTACCCTAGTTATCCTAATTATCCCTGCAACACTTGAAATGCTTGTAAAAAGACCCCTGTGAGTAAAGCCACTCTATACTCTCAAGAATGATAAATAATTTTAAAATATAGTTGAAAATGTAAGGAAATGCCCTAGGGCCTAAATTTACCCTCAGTTACACTCAGTCACCCCTCAATTACCCTCATTACCCCGGTTACCTTCAGTCACCCTCATTACCCTCAGTTACCCTTATTACCCTCAGTTCCCTCAGTTACCCTCATTACCCCTGTGAGTAAAGCTCTCTATACTCTCAAGATGAGGACTGGTAATATAAAAAGGGCCTAAATTAATAAGACCCCTTTTGTGTTGTGAGGGCTCAATTGATAACCTGTGATAAAGTAATTGCTGGCTTGAGATGGCAGAAAATACTTCTCTGTAGTTT